CTCCTCTGAAAAATAAGAAGACAAGCTGATGAGCCCAGGCTGGCACAGTGGAAAGAGGGCTGGATTAAGAATCAACCACACTTTTAAACTCAAAAGCATATGGAAGTGATTGTTGATAAATCAAAATAAATTAATAAGAAATAAATAAAAGAATCAACTGCACTATGAATCCTGGCTCAGCTGTTTACTATGTGTGTGATGTTGGACAAGTCACAGGATATTCTGGGGCCTCAGTGTCCTAATTTGTAAAATGGAAATGGAGTGAGCTTCCTTCAAATTCCATACTTCTAAGCCACTCGAGGGCCCTTCTTCAATTCCTGTGACCTTTTTCTATCAGCTGCCCTTAGAGTCTGCTTCTGGGTAGGCTTTGAGTTTTCAATATGAGATGGAGGAGCCCCACCCTATCTTCCATCCAGAGTAGCTCAGCCTGGGAGGATGGCTGTTCAAATGGAGACAGAAGGCTCACTTGTGACCTCTGAAGTGCTGCCACCAAACTGAGCAGAATTGGAAAGGGTCAGTTTGCCTGAGCCCCGCCCAAATGGAAAGGTTTTAATCAAGCTGATTCAGACTTTGCAGCTGCCAGAGAGGGAAGCAAGGGGGCCCCCAGCAAGAACTGCAACATTTTGGTGATTCATCCACTAGTCAGGAGGGCAGCTTAAGGCACAAATTTCCTCCACTTCTTTATTGGTTTTGGAGTTGGCCAACCCCCTTCTAAATAACACAATTCCCCAACTGTAGTCCTTAGTCAACTCCCACTGAAGTCAGGGTGAATGATTGTATTCAAAATGCAGGCCTTTTGTCTCAAGAGTTCTTTTTTCATTTCATCACCATAAATCTGACTTTTCTGCTTTTTCATATGAGGCGGGGGAAGGGAAAGCAATCTGCAAATTGCTAAAATCTCAATGCATTTGCTGAATTAAAAAGCTACAGGAAAGAAGATGGGCAAATTCTACTTCAAATATTTACTTGGCTCTGTGACAAAGTCACTTTCACCGCTCTGTGCCTCAATTTCCCTTAAAATCCCTTCCAGCTCTAAACCTATGCTACTATAAGCAAGATGCAATGGTCTAGTGTCAAAGTCTATCAATGAACTGAATTTAATTAAGAACCTATTATGTGCCAGGCACTGTGCTAAGTGCTTCAGATACAATGAAAGACAAAATATTCCCTGTTCTCAAGGAGCTCAGTCTCAAGAGGGAAGAACCCCTTACAGAGCCAGAGTTCAGATTGTGGATCTGCCACTTCGTGTGACCTTAGATGAGTCACTTCTCTCATAGAGATCAATTTCCTCTTCTTTAGAATGAGGGAGTCACCATAAATCCGTGAAAAGAGGACTTAAGAGCCCTCATGACAAGCCAGGTTATGTCAGATCTCTTCCATCTTAGAAAAGACATTCATACGGTCACATTATTTCAAAGACCACAGCAACCACAAATAAATCCTTTCTACAATATAACTGACTAGTAGCCATCCAGTCTCTGCCGGAAGATCTCCAATAAGGGAGCGCACCACCTCAGAAGGCAACTTGGAACAGCTCTGATTGGTAGAAAGTTATTTTTCCTCCCTACCACCAGGCCTCAGTTTGTTTCCTTGCAACTTCTTCCCCTTGTTCCTGATTCTACTTACCCTCTGGGACCAAATGAAATGATTACAATCCCTCTTCCATCTAACAGCCCTTGGAAAGCTTGAATTTAGTTACTGTGTTCCCCTTCTGTTCCCCAGGCCAAACATTCCCATTTTATTGGATCATGGGTCTAGAGCTCCAAGGAACCTTCAGAAACCATTTTCTCTAACCGCTTCTTTTTACAGATTAGGCAACTGAGGCCCAAGAAGGTTAAGTGACATGTCCAAGGTCACCCATACCAATAATATGCCATAACTAAAAAGTGAACCTCTGGAAACAAAGTTTACAGAAAGCTGCACCTGCAGAAAAGTCAAACAGGGTTAATTTATGTACTACTTTATGGAGAACATTTTCCAAAGAAAGTATTTTGCCATATCTCATATGAATAAATGGGTGGCAACATTGAGTTCATCTTTGTGGTGCAGTCTTCATGATCTTGCTGAAGCAACAGAGGTGGAATGATATCCCAAGGCCTCTGACTCCAGAGTCAGTGCTCTTTCCTCTATACCATTTATTTAAGCCAAGTCATCTATGGCATGATCTCAAGGCCAGCCTCACCATCCTTCACTGGAGGCTCTTCAGTTTTGCAGTGTTTTTGGAGCCCAGAACTGAACACAACTCAGAGATGACCATGTTCTCTCACTTAATGAGACCTAAAGGTTGTTTAAAAAAAAACTATTCTCTGGGAATATTCTACTTTTATCTATGATAAAGTGGAACGAGAGGAATTTATACAGTAGATTGAAATTTCTAGGAGTCTTTAGAGATTAACAGGGATGAGACAGCAGATCTGGTTTCAGGGGATGCCTAGGACTTTGAAATAAAGGGTTGTTGGGTTTTTTTTTTTAAATCTCTGTGGTATGCCTATTTCATTTCCTGAATTCAAGCTATTTTAGATTTAGGGTGGAGTAGCAGGACCTCCTCTGATAGGTGACTCATTCTCATTTTAATTCTCTTAGAGAAGACAGATGGTCAAAAGCCCTCTGGAGACTTTAACAGAGACAGAACCACTGTCACCCAAAGCAGATCCCTTCTATTAATTCAGTTGTCTCATTCTGTCCTACTCTTGGTGACCTCATTGGCATTTTCTTGGCACAGATATTGGAGTGCTCATTTTACAGATAAGGAAAGTGAGGCAAACAGAGTTATGTGACTTGCCCAGTGTCACACAGCTAGTAAGTGTGCAGCCAGATTTGAACTCAGGAAGATGAATCTTCCTATCTCTGGCCCAGTGCTCTATCTCCTGTGCCACCTGCCTGCCCTCAAAACCCCTGCCAGTACCTCTCAAGTCTAGACTCAGATGTTCTAGCTCTGGGTTGTACTCTGTCTATTTTTGAAGGATAGGAGGGAGGGTCCAGGAGAGGGATCTCCAGGATATTTCACTCCACTGTAGTTCTTACTATTCTTTCGAGTGAAGTACCTTCCTAATTAGACCTTCTTGGTTCTGGTTTATAACATTCTGGATCAAAAGGCCAAACATGGCACGCTGGCTTCTGCATCTCTCTGGGCATAAAAAAGGGGGAGGGGGGAACTGGCTGTCCTTAAGTGGAATCGATGCTCTTGTTCACCAACTTCACCTTGAGCTCTATAAAGGAGATTCTAGAAGGGATCCGTCGTTGTTGAATGTGTATCAGCTAGTTAATGCCAAGCAAAAACCACAACTTTTTGTGGTTTTTAAGTGGTCCTTTGAATGTCTTTCTTAAAACCTGCCATCTGTTCCGTATCCAGTGAATAATTTGGCAAGGAGGCTTTGGTCAATGTCTCCCTTTGTTTCTGCCAAAGCATTCTTTCTGAGTCTCAATGAGACTCCTCCTCCCCATTCATTATGCTCAACTAGTTAAAAGTCATTTCAACCCAGCATTTTAACTGTTACCATTCCTAGAAACATGTTCATTCATCTTATCCAGCAAGCATTTATTAAATGGCTATTATGTGTCAAACATTATACAAGTACTAGGAATCTAAGAACAAAATAGTCCCTGCCCTCAAGGAGCTTACATTCTACTGGGGGAATATGCTCAAAGAGTCATACTTCAGTGGATCTGTGATTATATCAATGAGGATGTTCCTTCCACTGATGCAAATTGCAACCCATCCACTCCTGCTCAACCTTGTGACTCTTTGTCCATGTGCCCCCCACCCAAGTTCACCACAGAGGACCCACCCAAATTGGCCTGCCTTCTCTTGGCTCACTAGGATTCCATTGGAACACATAGGCTGTCCTACACCCCACTCTCAGCATATGGCCAATTCATTTCTTTCCACCATCCATTCCTTTGATGCCATCCTTCATTCCTGTTCTTCCTAGCTCCTAATTTTTAATGTGTTGAAACCTTCCTCACACCTACCATACAACATGCACCCAGATAAAAATGTCAGAGTTCTTTTTCTAGTGCTACCAAAAAACGATTTCTCCTGTAGGAACTCTGATCAGCAACAATCCAGCTCAATTCCAGAGGACTGATGATGAAGCCTGTTACACCTCTCCCACAGAGAGGTGATGGACTTAGAGTTCAGACTGAGATATAAACTTTTGGGACATGGCTAATGCAGGAATTTATTTGCTTAAGTATACGTATTTATTACAAGGGTTTTGCCTTTATTTTTTTTCCCTCAGGGGATGGGAAGGAGAGGGGGACAAAATAAATTTCTATTCACTGAAAAAAAATTTAATTAAAAAAATAGTAAAGCCCGAGGGGAAAAAAACTTATCTCTTCCCACAGCATGTTAAAGTAAATGCTTACCCATAACCTACCATAGAACCTAGGCAATACAGCTGCAACTCTTTTATTTGGATAAGGCATGTTACTTCATTGTAAAATATGGAAATTTATTGTAGTAGCAAGTTACAGCCACCATATAAATAAGTGCCCAAGGATCTCAGCAAACTATAGTCATTTGCAGGCAAGTATTCCCCCCACTGCTGTTAGATATAACTAGATTACAAAGACAGGCATAAAGGGTTGAATTTTCATATCTGTTAACAGCATGGCTATGTGGGTTTTTGGTATTTTAGTCACAGATAAAAGCTTGATTAACAGACACCAAGGAATATGATGCTTTCCTTTCAGTAAATTTTTTGCCAGCTAAAGGGGGATGGGAGGGTTAGGAGACACATACAGGAAAACCAGGAAGAACACTGATCCTCCTTTTCCTAATAATTATAGTTAGACCTAGCTGAATTAGATGGGGAAATGGTGGTGGCCCATTCAGAGCTGTAAAAACACATAGTGTTTGTGTCTGACCTCATTAGAACCAGAGGTTGGTACTGTAGAGACACTTGTCTTGAGAAAAACTAGCATATAGGTTATATAGTCTTACACCTACTGGGCTTAAACCTGGAAATGAACTCTGTGTGTTGGGCATCTTTGAACAGGTTTCGGAAGACACTGCCAAGATGCCGTCTCAAATGGAACATGCCATGGAAACTATGATGTTTACATTTCATAAGTTTGCTGGAGACAAAGGCTACTTAACAAAAGAAGATCTGAGAGTTCTCATGGAAAAAGAGTTCCCCGGATTCTTGGAAGTAAGTACTGAAGAAACTTTTAAAGGATAGAAGGAAAGAGCTTAGCCTGTCTAGACTCTCATGTTTTGGGGGGGTTATTTTGGGCTAGGCAATGGAGTTAAGTGAGTTGCTCAGGGTCATACAGCTAGTAAATGGCAAGTGTCTGAGGCCGGATTTGAACTCAGGTCCTCCTGACTCCAGGGCAGGTGCTCTCTCCACTGTGCCACCTAGCTGACCTTCATGTTCTTCTTTTCCTATTCCATCACTCCCTTCTAGCAGTGACTCTGGCACAGGCCTTTCCATTCATTCAACAATGTCTTGATGAGTGCCTGATGTATGTAAGAGTAGGTGGGGGGAAGGCGGTGCAAAAAGGAAGACAGGATTCCTATCTTCAAAGGGCTTATACTCTGATAACAGTAGCAATAATAGCTGAGTTTATATAGTACTTGGAGGTTTGCAAAATGCTCTACATGTATGATCTGCTTTGGTTCTCACAAGTAGCAGTGAGGTAGGTGCAATTATGATGATGCCTATTTTACAGGTTAAGTGATTTGCCCAAGTCTACACATAGAGATAGGATTAGAACCTAGTCCTTTTCTGATATTATATCCAATATTCTTTCCACTAAAATCTGTAACACAATATGCGCTTCAGCCAATGGTATAAGAAGAATCAAAACAAATAGCATTCAAGGGTGTAGAGTCACCAAAGGGATAGTATATTGAGAGAAGGCAGTAAATGAGTGAATTGATTCACCCCATTTCTCCTCAAAATCAGGGTTGTAGTCCCCACATCCTGGCCAGACTCCACAACTTAAATTGTCCCCCTGAAATCCCTCTAAGCAGATAAGATCTTTCTTCTTTCCCCAGTTCTATAATAACGCTGAACTTCTCTTTAGTGGAAGCCAAGCTTCATTCCATAAGGAATAGCTTTTCCGTGGAAAATGGAAGACCCCTTTACCTGAAAATGCAATGAGATTAGAGAGCCATAATTTAAGATAATGGAGATTTAGAGCTGGTAGGGACTTCCTCTCTCCTGACATTTCCATAGTGCTGTTTCTTTTTTCACAGTCAGACCTGGCTTTGGGAGCTCTGTTTGGGTGGAAGTCTCTGTTCTTCAGATGTTGATTGGATCAACCTGTCTCAGGACATAAGGCTGATCAGCAGATGGAAATGAGCACAGTGAAGTATTAGAGCCTAAAGTGGGCCTTCCTTCTCTGGACCAGTCATGATCACTGGAAAAGATCATTACTGTGCTTGATGTTGAATAATTTAATAGCTTCTAAAGGATGAAAAGACAGAAAGTTAAAGGGCTCCCGGCTGCCTCTTAGCATTTGTCCCCAGGAAGTGGTACATTGGTAAAGCAGATGACTCCTCTTTTATAGGCAGAGTGAAATCATAGGGTATTTTGACTGGCATTTTGTTTAAAACAATATTCTGATTGGTCTCAGAGATTATGAAATTGCCCATTTTATTGTATCTATTATTGATTACTTGGATATTATAACAGATGTCCCCAGGCTGATGAAAATGAACATGGAATAAAGAAAACAAATCAATCCACTGATAAGCATTTATTTAGCACCTACTATATGCCTGGCTCCAAGAACAGGATGAGCATAGGGAACAGGGCTTGTGATTTCGGTAATACAGAGAACTCTTGGACAAGGAAATTCTTCTACCTGTGCAGGTTTGCACTTTCTTTACAAATTACAGTCTTAAAAAGTTGCCTAGAGCACTGACTGGTTAAGTCAAATAGTCCAGAGTCAAATAGCTAGTATGTCTCGAACACAGAGCTCGAGCCTAGGACTTCCTGACTCCCAGGCCAGCTCCCTATCCTCTTATATCAAGGCTGCCTTTCAGGACTAGAGAAAGAAAAGAATTAAAAAATGAAATTATCCTTGTCTTCAAGGAACTTACAAGCTTGAATCTATTCTCTGAACCCAAATTCCCTTCCAATCTGGCGTGGTATCTGGAGAGATGCTAGATTTGGAGTCAGGAGGACGTGGGTTCAAATCTTCCCTCAGCCACTTCCCAGCTGAGTGATACTAAGAAAATTACTTAACCTCTCTGAACCTCAGTTTCAGAATCTGTAAAATGGGGACAATCATAACAATGACCTCACAGGATAGTCACAAGGATCAAATAAGATAGTGGCAACATAGTGTTTTGCTAACCCTGAAGTGCTATATAAATATGAACTGTCATTATCCTACTTGGAAAAACCTAAGCAAATCCCTTCTGGGCCTGTTCAAGTCTAGACTCAGATTCCCAGAGATGGTCTAGATCTGGATTGCCTTTTGTGTGTAGTTTGGGGAGTGAGGAAAGAGAAAGGGAGGAGTTTTCCCTGGGGTATTTCACCTCCTTCTGGATATTGTAATATGAACTTGCTGTTTTCCTCAAGCCTAAGGCCTTCCAAATCAGTCCTTCCTGTCTCTTCAAAAGCCAGCCTGTGACAGACAGCTAGCCAAGGGCCCTCGGGCTGCCCTGTAGCCTAGGTCCTGAAAAATAAGGTGGCTTCTAACATGGAAGCTGCACAAGATAGAAAGAGACATTTGAGGCACAGATATTTACTACTAAAGGCTGACAGGTCCGGAAAGGATTTATTGACATTATGAGGTCATGATTCCAATCTACACCTTTCCCCTCCTTCCTATACTGCATGCCCTTTTGTTTCTACAAGTTGGTTCCTTACATCATCTAAATCTCACCCACCAGTCTCTGCCCGAAACGAGAAAGTGCGAGCGTGGCCAGAATTTGTGAAACTTCTCCCCAAAAGCAGTCAGCTTCTCAGAGAGATGGAGGCAGACATCAGACTTCATTTCGTTGCTCAGGGTTTGAGATTCAGGCTCTTGAGGGGAAAAAAAGCCACATCTTTGACTTTCTGGATTTCTCAATGAAAGTCAGAAACACTCAGCAAATCAACTAAGGGTTTTAGGAAAATGTGGGGAACACTTGTTTCCATATACGCTCAAGTGAAATTCAATACAATTTCGTTAGTGTTTCTGTGGAAAGTCTAGAGCAGGAATCTTCACGCCTCTTTTGTATCATGGACCCCCTCTGGCAGTCTGACAAAGCCTGTGAACCCCTTTTCACAATCATGTTTTTAAATGTATAACATAAAGTGCATTGGATTTAAAAGAAAAGTTATTGAAATACAGTTAGCAGAATATTTGTTAAAAGTTCTTGGATGTCAGGATTAAGAAGCCCGATCCAGAGGCTTCCATAGTTAATGATGAAACCCCATGAGATCATAGCATCAAAGATCTTGAGCTGAAAGGTGTCTTTCAAGACCAACATCCCCATTTGATAAATGAGGGAACTGAGTCACAAAGAGGTTTAAGTGACTTGCCCAGGATCACAAGAAGTAGCAATTGTCAGAGTTAGGAGTCAAACCCAGGTCCTCTGACTCCATAGCTAGGATTCTTTCCCCAGCTCCATGACAATGCCCACATGTAACACTTTGAACTGATAGCAAACTACAGAAAAAAGCAAACAAATCACCATGAAACCAGGAAGCACAAAGTGCTGCCTTTCTAACCTCTGCCAGAGGTCGTCTTTTTACAGGGGAAGAAACTGAGGCCCAGAGAGGTGAAACAGTTTGCCTGAGACTACACAGATAGGAAGTAGCAAAATTAAGATTTAACCCAGGTTCTCTAACTGCAAACTGAGCCCTCTTTTCTTTTTTTTAATATAAAAAAGATATAAATAAAAATTTATTTAAAAAAAAAAAGAATATTATAGTCACAACCTGTTAAGGAGAGAAGAAAAATTTATTGTAAAAAAAATGCAGTTATACAAAATGAATTCCTCCTATGGCCATACATAAAAATGCCTCATTCTGGACCCCACATCCATCTCCTCCCTATAATGGGTGGCATGTTTCACCATGAATCCTCTGGCATCGTGAATGACCATTCCATTGATCACAGTTCTTACAGCTTTCAAAGTTGTTTTTCTAACCCTCTTTCCACTCCACCCTTTCTACTCTTTCCTTCTGTAAACTAGTTGACCTTTATAGGTTCTTTGAAAAGTGAGGATCCAAAAATTCAGGCACTTTCTCTTTAATGGGCAGCTATACAGATTTAATAGCTAAGTCCCTCAGTCTGATAATTGATTCATATGCTTTTGCTTCTTGTGATTCTTTTTTTTTTCCAGAACCAGAAAGACCCTTTAGCTGTAGACAAGATTATGAAAGACCTGGACCAGTGCCGAGATGGAAAAGTGGTCTTCCAGAGCTTCTTTTCACTAATTGCCGGGCTGACCATCGCATGTAATGACTATTTTGTCGTACACATGAAGCAGAAGGGGAAAAAATGAACCCAAGCCAAGGAAATCCCCCTGATCCTTATGCATTGCAGTATTCTGAGTGGCCATTTTCAAGATATCCCCATATAGCTTCCCCTAGGATGAGGCAGTTGCATGAGCAGACCCAGGCCCTTAGAATGTACAAACGAACTCCAGGCTTACAATTTGACAGCTAGGGAAAGAAAATATAAATATATGTCAGATAAGCTTTTGATTTTTTTTATATTATATGCACCCTCTACCCCACAATAAAAAAAAACGCCATCCTTTTTTAATGTCTAATTTGGGTCAGCTTGTTTCTTCAGAAATTTTGTTTTGCTCCCTTACTCATCCCACAGAGCTCAGAGAGGCGTTTTGCCCTTGGCTCATTTCCCATCCACCCCTGGCCAGCTGGCTTGAGCGATGCTCTGTCACCATATTCCACAGAAGAAGGGTGAGTTATTTTTCCAAGTTCTGCCTGATTGCTCAGCAACAGAATGGAGCCTGCAGCTATGTCCATACCAATCACCCAGGGAATAGGGAACATCCCTACACAGGGGGATCCCAAATGTTAGGCTCATGAATGTAGCCTACCCTAGTTAGATGGAAAAAAACCTCAAAACGTGCCCTTCAATCCTGCTTTTTATAAGCGTGCCTGAGAGACACTTGGTTGTACTTTTCATACCAAACAATATCAATTGAAAATATATACAGTACCTCAAAGTTTATACGTGTTATAAATAATTAACATCTACATAGAACTTCTAGGTTTATGAAGCACTCATTTGATCCTCATAACCCTGTGAGATAGCTTCTATTATGATCTTCATTTTACGGTTTGAGAAACCGAGGCTGAGTGAGTATGAAGTGCCTTAACCAATTTCATATAGCAGGTAGGAATAAGGCAGAATGTAAACTCAGGTCTTCCTGACTATAAGTCCCACACTGTATTCCCTGTGCCACCTAGCTGCCTCTGTGCTATCTAATTAGATTTTTAAAAACCATTTGAGGCATTATTCTCATTTTACAGAGCAGGAAGCTGAGGCCCCAAGAGGTTAAACAACTCCCTATGATTATATAGGCAGCTAGGTGGCACAGTGGATAGACTAGATCAGTGGGCTTGGAATCAGGAAGACTCATCTTCATGACACAAGCTGTATGGCTCTGTTTGCCTCAGTTTTCTCATCTATAAAATGAGTTGAAGAAGAAAATGACAAGCCATTCCAGCATCTCTGCCAAGAAAACTCCAAATAGAGTCATGAAGGGTTGGACACAGCTGAAACTACTTAACAACCACAAAATTATTACATAGCAAATATCAACAGCAGAAATTGAACCCAGGTCTTCTCCTGACTCCAATTTCAGTGCCCTTTCTACTATACACAATGATTCACAAAATAATCTAAAACATTTTTTCAGTAAAGATCCCTAAGACAATGGACAAATGTATTCAAGTCCTAGGACAGAGAACTGGCCAGTGGGAGGAATAGAATCCCTCAGCAAAATGCCCATTAACATTCACTGAGTGCCTACTGTGTGCAAGGCATTATGCCACATACTACGGAAATAACCGGGCACAGCCCAACACAAATTTTGTAGAAAGGATAAGAGAATCCCTTTTCTTAGCTAGTGGATTTGAGTAAAACTATGAAAATTCAACAAGAGGTTCTATGTGATATTTTTCAATTTCATGCCAGGTTTTGTTTTGGTTTTTTTCTGTAAGAATAGACAGTAAAGCTCCCAGGAAAGGAGGAGGAAGGCAGGGATTGTCTTTTTTTTTTTGCTTGTATTTATATGTCCAACACTTAGCACAGTGCCTGACACACTTTAAACACTTCATAAATGCCTCTTGACCTGACTTGCACAGGTAGGAACTGGGCAGAGTCAGAATTTGAATGCATGTCTGGCCACTCCAATTTGGGCACCCTTCCTACTAAACCATGCAGCTTTCCTCAAGGCTGATGGTGGGAGGATTGGTAACTCCATGGCTACCCAATTTTGTAAGAAATGTCATAATTCTACAAGTAGGAATTAATCCAGGGGAGGTTACTCCATGGCAGGGGTGGGAAGAGGCTCAAAGGAAGGATAAGACCTCTTCTCCAGGTGAAGGACCATACAGATAACCTCTAGGCCCAAAGGAAATACATCCCAGGTTACTGAATGAACTAGCAAATAAAAATTAGTGGTACTTCAGGATTGGAGAGCGGCAAGTGAACTAATTTTCAAAGTTGGCGGTGGGGGGGATTGGAGAAAGAATAGAGTCTGCAAACTATAGGTCAGAGAGACGTTGACATCAATTCCTTACAGAATTCTAGGAGGTATTGGTTGCTGTCTGTTGTTCTAGAAGACGACCACAATGACATCACTATGCTAGAGTCAAGTTTCAGTCTGTCCGATTGGCTGATCAGACCAATACGAGTTTAAGAGATGGCTAACAAATGTCATTCATTCAATCATTCAATAAACATTTATAAAGCACCTGCTGTGTGCTAAGCACTAAGGATACAAAAAGAGGAAAAGGATAGTCCCTGGCCTTTACAAGCTTACAATCTAATGTCAGGAAAAGAAAGAAGTGATTACAAAGAGTCAGCATAGCATCAGCTGGACTAATCCCATTTTCTTTTCTTTTTTTTTGTGAGGCTATTAGACTAGGAGTTGGGGGAATGGAGAATGGAATAAATATTTCTATAGCTCCTACAATATGCCAGACATAGTGCTAAGCACTCTACAAATATTTATCTCATTTGATTTTCACAACAACCCTGTGAGAGGGGTGCTGTTATTGTCTGCATTTTACATTTAAGGAAACTGAGGTCTTCTTGACTCCAGGCAAAACACTTTATCCACTGCAATGCCTAGCTAGGTAGTACATGGATTAGAGTGTTGGACTTAGAGTCAGGAAGATCAAAATTCAAATCCTGTCCCAGGCACTTACTCTTTGATTGAGTGACTGGGCAAGACACTCTGTCTGCCTCGGTCTTCTCGTCTATTAAATGGGGTTAAAACAGCACCTACATCCCAGGATTGTTATGAGGATAAAATGAGATTGTGATAGGTTGTGCTGAGATGACAAGAAAGGGCAAACTAGTGATTTCCTTTCCTAACCCCACACACATCTATACTTCCACCCCCAAATCAAGTTTATTGGGTTAACCCAGGGACCAACAAAATAAATCAACTCCTCTAAGATCTTCCCTTAGCACCTGGGTATACACACACACATGTGTGTGTATATATCCATATATACACATACAGATATACACACATGTGTACTATATACATGTGTATATGTTCATATATATTCTATCCTGTATCTCCTTGGAACACATGTAGTTATTGGCATGTTGTCTCTGCCATTTGATTGTGATCTCCATGAGAGCAAGGGCTGTTTTTTGCTTTTCTTTTTATCCCCAGTGCTTAGCACAGTGCCTGGCACAGAATAAGCACTTAACACACACCTGTTGACCAACTGACTATATGTAAGTGTTTTTCTAATCTTAAAGTACTATATAAATGTTAGCTATTATTAACATAAAGTATGAGTTAACAGTGGAATATGGCAGTCAAAAATATAATACAATCTTTAAGCTATATTCAGAAGGCTTAGTATGTAGGGCTATGGTGCTGGCAGGTGTACTGGATTCTGCCCCAGTAAGACCTCAGTTCCCATTTTATGAGCATCCCATTTTGGGAAGGGCATTGATGATCTAGAAAGAGCTCAGAGGAAGGTGAGCAGGATGGTGAAGGGTTGTAAGATGCGTGAGGACTGGTTCTCCAGCCAGAAAAGACAAACAAGAGAGAACAGTCAGAGGAGACATACAGCATACTAGCTTGCCTTCAAGAGTATGAAGGGCTGTCATGTTGAAGAGGAATCTGACTTTGCTGCTTGGCCCAAGAGGCAAAACTGAAAGTGATTAGTGGAAATTGCAGAGAAAGTGGGTTTGGGCTTAATAGCTGGGAAAGCTTGGGAACCATTAGAACTCTCCTGAAGTGGGCTGGGTTGCCTTAGGTTGCAGCGTCCCCTCTACCCGGAGGTCTTTAAATAAAGGCTGAATGATTATTTGTCACATGAATTCTTGAATTCTTGATCTGGTACTGTTCAACTCTATGCCTTCCAACTCTGAGATTCGATAACTCTGGGATTCCACTGTTTTACTTCAGTAATGTACTCAGTATGAAGCTATCATAAGGAAAATATACCTGTTATGGCATTTTTTAAAATCCCCTAAGTTCACACATAAAACAGAGACCTACAACATGTCCTGGTGAAACATAAGTCAGTCTTCCTAGGCCATACCCCAAAGGTTTCAAAAGGACACTTAAGACGGCAAGCTTTGGCAAAAGATACTGCTGCGTATTTAGAGGTGGCCAAGGGCCAGTGCTGTGCCTAGAGATGGTCACCAGCCACCATGGTGAGCCCTCTGGAAAATTCCAAAAAATGTTGCTGTGCAGCTACACAGGGTTATAGGGGCAGTTCTCACCTCTCCACACCCAAATAGGACAGGAAAAGAGAACAGCAGTGCAGAGAAACAATCTGAAGCAGGCTCCAGGACTAACAGAGAAAAATACCTAACTCTCCTCTCTTTCCTTCTTAGTCCTGATTCCCTGATAAGACAAGACAAGACAAAGATATTCTGGGCCCAGACCTATCCACCCACCCAATTCATTGTGTGAAGCTGGGCTCCTCATTACCCTTCTGTCTCAGTGTGACTGACTGGAAAGTGGTTATTACAAAAACCTTTCCCATCCCAGAAAGCCCAGAAAGATGGTAATAAATATGCATGTACTTTTCCAATCAATGATACCACTCAGTAAGATATTATGAGAGATATAAGGAAGGATAAGGCCTCAGGTAGCTTACAACTTAGCTGGGAAGATGAGACAAACACACCAGAAAAATGAAATAGCAATATATGAAAACAGCATAAGAGATATTACCAGGTGGTGTATTGTTGTTGAATCATTTCATTCATGTCTGACTCTCTGTGACCCCATTTGGGTTGGTTTGTTTGTTTCTGTAAAGATGCTAAGATGATTTGCCATTTCCTTCTCCAATGCATTTTACGGATGAGGAACTGAGGCAAACAGAATTAAGTGACTTGCCCATGGTCACACAGCTAATAAGTGTCTGAGACTAGATTTGAACTCAGGTCTTCCTGACTCCAGGCCTGGCACTGGGCCACCTCGCTGCCCAATCAACAAGCACTTATTAAGCACCTACTATGTGCCAGGCACCATGCTAGTTGCTGGTGATTCATACAAAAAATAAAACTATCTCTGCTCTCAAGGAATGGTACAAACAT